GTTGAACATTTGGTTGTCCAGATAAATTATTTTCACAAGCATCCGTCAGTGAATTAATAAATGAAGTTCCTTCAGTATTATCATTTCCTTCTTTATTATTTATCTGAACACTCTCGTTACATTCAATTGTCGATTTACCTTTATTGATATAATTATCATTTTGTGAATTTTCTTTTTCATTTTTTTTTAAAAGATATTTTTTATTATATTTTTTTTTGCTTTTCCTTATTTTTTTGATAGTATTTTCTTTTATATTCTTTTTTTGCTAACTTTTTTTTCATCCTCATTATTACCCGTAGTTTCGTTTCCAATAAACTCATCATTTTTTGGAGTAACAAAAGAAGTTTCTTCATTATTATCAGGTTGAATACTTCCTAATTCTGACGTATCATTTTGTAGGATTTCTCGTTCCATTTTCTTCTTTAGACGGTATTTTCGTTGATATTCGCGAAGCTTTTCTTTATTACACTCGCGCTCAAAAGTATTGCCCCAAGCCGATAGAAAAGTTTATATTGCAGATAATTACCTAATTTTCAAAATATTTTTCAAATTTTTTTGTCCTAAAATACTCCCCTATTAATTAGCTTTAAAATAAGTAAAAAAAGTTTATTCACCAAGATAATAAAAGATAAATAAAATCAAAAAACAAAAAATGCATCGGGGATGAGACGATCAAAAGTATTGCCCCAAAATTTAAACAACAAAAATACAGGTCCCTAAAAATTAAAGAACCACACACATTTTTGTATCGTAACTTGGTCCAAACTTGTTAGACCGCGGTGATTTTGATGTCTTTCGACTCAGCTTGAGGAGCTCTTTCGAATGAGCTATCATTCAAAAAATGGAATTTTTCACCCCAAAATTGAGCTTACTCCCCCTATGGTTTTTGACCATTTCGAGCATAATATTTTGGTCCAAAGGCATCTCCGGGGAAAAAGAGTGGTACCGTTGGACTCAGCACCTTTTTTTACCCTATATATGACATTTTGAGCATTAATTTAGGGGGGTGTGGCAGAACGGAAAAGTACCAATAATTTCTATCATATTCTCTTCTCCTTTCTTTATTCCTTTGATTATAATTTTTATTATATTCTTTTTTCGCTAACTTTTTTTCTTCCTCATTATTTCTCGTATTGTTCTTTCTAATAAAATCATCGTTTTGTGAACTAACAAAAGAAGTTCCTTCATTATTATCAGATTGAACATTTCCCATTTTTGACGTATCATTTTGTAGGATTTCTCGTTCCTTTTTCCTTTTTAGATAGTATTTTCGTTGACAATCGCGACGCTTTTCTTTATTATTTTGTCTGTACTCTCGTTTACTTTGAACCAATCTATCTCTATTCTTCTGATAGTAATCTTTACTATTTTGTAACATCTTTTCTTTGTTATTTTGGTAGTGGTTTGCATAATATTTTTGTTGTTCTTTTTTGTGTTGCTGGTAGTAAATCTTCATATATTCTTTTTGTTTTAACTTTTTTTCTTCATTATTTTCAGTTGGTTTCTTCTTAGTTATTTTAGGTTTTATTTTTAATTTTTCTTCAGATATTTGAATTTGAGGATTAACCGATGATTCTGCTCCATCATTTAATATTTCAGTTAAGTCCTTTGAGGGTTCCTCAGCTCTTGTTAACACATTTTGATTTTTATTAATTTTAACAGAATTAATTAAACTCCATAATATCGAATTGAAAATTAAAAAGACTAGAATACTAATTAATTTCATTCTAAATTAATATAAAAAATTATATTATGTAATTAATGTTTATTAATTAACGCTAAATAATAAAGATAATTTAAAATTCGATAATATAATATAAATAATAGAAAATAAATAATAAAAAATATAATAATAATAAATAAATTTACCTATATAAATAAAATGAATATAGTTAAAAGCACCCGGTGTATTTTGACATATATTTTGTAATAATGTACTTTTTCATGATTATAGTATGTAAAAGGTCAATATTGCTAATTATTGTGTAAACAAATTTATTAAAGCCGACAAATTATGAAATCTCAAAGGATGTTTTTACAAACATTACATATAGAAAATCTTTAAAATTAAAATTAATAACTCTGAAGTAGGAAATTTGATCCTGGAAGATCTTCGGATCCGAAATTTATGGATATCCGGATCCGGTAGCCGAACCAAAGATTACCGATAACCGGTCTTTTTCGGATCCGGATCCGCCTACCTTACTCTGAAGAGTACTAAATATTAGTGATGTTCGAGAGTCAAAAAAAGCCGAGAGTCGAGACCGAGGGATTAAGAGGAATATCACTTGATGTCATCCTAATCCCAAAAAACCTTGATATCACTCATAATCACCAAAATCTCATGAATCCTTAAGTTAACAATACATATAGCAGCTCTAATTCGATAATTTACCTTTAATTCCAATTTATACTTCAGTTTCTTTTGACAATGATAAATTTTAATTTTTTTAATTTTAAAAATTTTCTTTAATGTTTGTGAAAATGCCCTTTGAGATTTCATAGTCTGTCGGCTTTAATAAATATGTTTACACGATATTTAGCAATATTGACACTTTACATTCAATCATAAAAAAGTACATTATTACAAAATATATGTATGTCAAAATATACCGGGTGTTTTTACCTATATTCATTTTATTTATATAAGTGAATTTTTATTATATTTATTTTTTATTATAATATTTATTTTTTGTTATTTATATTTACATTATTATTTTATTTTAACTATATTATTTAATATCAATTAATAAAAATTAATTTATTATAAAAAATTTTTATATTAATTAAGAATGAAATATATTAATATTTTAATATTTTTAATCTTCAATTCAATATTATGGAGTTTAATTAATTCTGTTAAAAACAATAAAAATCAAAACGAGTTGATTACAGTTGAGGAAAGCTCGAAGGGTTTAAATAAAATATTAAATGATGGGGCTGAATCATCGGTTGCTCCCCAAATTCAAAAATATGAAGGAACGTTAAAACCAAATCCAAAAATTACTAAAATGTACAAGAATGACAATAAGTTAGCAGAAAAAATTATAAAGAAAAAAGAATATCAAAAAGACTATTACCAAAAGAATAAAGAAAAGAATAAAGAAAATAATAAAGAAAAGAGGAGAGAATCTATTCGAAAGTACCAAGAAAAAAAGAAAAATGAAAAGGAAAATTTAAAAAATGAAATTTCGAAATTAAGAAACATTCAATCGGAAATTAATGAAGGAACTTCTTTTGTTTTTCAACAGAATAATGATTCGTCAAAAGCCTCAGATAATTTAACTAAAATATTAAATGATGGGGCTGAATCATCGGTTGCTCCCCAAATTCAAAAATATGAAGGAGAGCCAAAGAAAACTTCCAAAACTACAAATAGGAATAATGCAAACGAAAAAAATTTAAGGAAAAAGAAATATGATAAAGAGAGATATCAGAAGAATAAGGAAAAGATATGTGAATATAAACGAAATTACAACCGACGTATGAAAGAAAATTTAGAAGATTTACGAAAAAATAAAATGGAAATTATACGAGATATTAATTCAAAATTAATAAATATTCAATCTAACGAAGGAAATTTATTACCTAATAATTGTGAAAGTAAGGAAAAAGAACCGATTGTTTCCAAAGTGAATATACAGTTAGAAAAAGGAGAAGTAATTCCTATTCAATCTTCTCGTAATGTGGAAGGAAATGATAATGCTGAAGGAACTTCGCTTGTTAATCCACAAGTGGATGATTGTGAAAATAATTTATCTGGACAACCAAATATTCAATCAGCCGATGGCCAACATATTCAACAACTGGATGATAATGATGATTTAATAGATCTGAGTTTATGGGATGATTCCTATTTTTTGGATTATTTAAATTCTTTTGATAATTCCTGAACAGATTCAAGATAAACAAAGGTTGAATTTTAAATATGAAACTACAAAAAATATATCTTTCCTTTCTCTATATTTATATTTTCTGGGCTAAAAAATTATGTCCAAATATTTTTTCGTATTTATTTTTCTTACTTTAATTTTCTTTAATTTTTTAATTTCAATTGTTTCGTTCGATAAACAAAGAATTTTAATAAATTTTTAAATAAAAGTTTGTCTTTTCCGGATAATAAATCCGGAGGTTTTAATAAATATTAATATTTTTGGTTTTCATAAAAAAAGTTCAAGATAGCACTGTCCAAAAAATTTTTAAAAAATTATGAAATTTTCCGGGAAATTTTTTTCTAAAACTTATTTTAAGAAGTAGGCATGACTGTTGATTTTATAAAAAGTGGAAGAATTCGATACTTAAGTACACCCAACAACGTGAATAAATATGATTTTATTTTATTAAATGCTATCATTTTTTAATTTAAAAATCAAAATATGAATGAACATGATTATTAGAGTCAGGATTTTTAGGCAAATGCCTGATTTTTTTGCTAGATAGGCCTGATGATGAAACGTCCAAATCAGGTGTTATTTTACTGAAATCTTCTTTCAACTAATTTTATCGTTATCTAAATTTGCCTATTTTAACTTTTTTGGCAAAATGCTCTATTTTGCCTTTCGAAAAATTTATCAAATTATTTTTGGAAACAGAATAATTAATATAAATTAATCTAAACGTAACTCTGTTCGTAAAATTAATTTATTTATTATACTGAAATTAGATTTATCACTTTTGTGATAAATCTTTTTCATTTATTTATTATTATTTATTTATTATTATTTATCTTTATCATTTATCATTTATTTATTTATCACTTTTAGATTTATCACTTTTGATAAAATTTAGTAAATTTAAATCAGAAAATCTCGAAAAAAATCCTGCATATTTTGCCTTTTTTCGGATTTTATTGCCTATTTTGGCAGTGCCTATACATATAGTCGCCTATTTTTAATTTTTTAGTGCCTAAAAATCCTAACTCTAATGATTATATTTGAGTCAATTTTTTGTATGATCTAAATTTTTTGGATAATTCATCCACTTGTTTATCTGAAATGTGTTCAGGTATTAGGAAAAGAATTTAGATAATCCAAAAAATAAGAATCATCCGATAAACTCAGATCTATTAAATCATCATGATTATCCAGTTGTTGAATATGAGGGCTGTAAGGCAGTTGAACATTTGGTTGTTCATAAGGGCAAGCATTTGTGTCAGCTAAATTATTTTCACAATCATCCGCCAGTGGATTAACGAATGCAGTTCCTTCAGTATTATCATTTCCTTCCTTATTATTTGCCTGAACATTCTCGCTACATTCAATTGGCGATTTACCTTTATTAATATAATTATCATTCTGTGAATTTCCTTTTTCATATTTTCTTTTTAAATGATAATTTCTATTATATTCTCTTATTTTTTCTTTGTTCTTTTGATCGTAATTTTTCTTATATTCTGTTCTATTGAACTTTTTTTCGTTTTCATTATTTCCCGTCGTTTCCTTTCTAATAAAATCATCGTTTTGTGAACTAACAAATGAAGTTTTTTCATTATTATCATGTATGTTTCCCAATTCTGACCTATCCTTATCTAGGATTTCTCGTTCATTTTTCTTCTTTAGACGGTATTTTCGTTTAGATTCACAAATCTTTTTTTTATTATTTTGATGATAATTTCGATTATAACACTGTTTCTCCTTTTTGTGTTGGTGGTAGTAATCTTTCATATATTCTTTTCTTTTTAACTTTTTTTCTTCATTATTTTCAGTTTTTTGCTTTTTTGTAATTTTGGTATTTGGTTTCAGAGTTTCTCTATATTTTTCAAGTTGAAGAGCAACCGATGATTCAGCCTCATCATTAAATATTTTATATAAATTCTTTGAGGGTTTCTCAACTCTAATCATCTCGTTTTTATTTTTATTATTTTTAACAGAATTAATTATACTCCATAATATCGAATTGAAAATTAAAAGGAGTAAAACACTAATAAATTTCATTCTAAATTAATATAAAAAATTATATTATGTAATAAATGTTTATTAATTAACGCTGAATAATAAAGATAATTTAAAATTCGATAATATAATATAAATAATAGAAAATAAATAATAAAAAATATAATAATAATAAATAAATTTACCTATATAAATAAACCCGGCACCCGGTGTATTTTGAATATATATTTTGTTGAATGTACTTTTTCATGTTTATATGTAAAAGGGCAATATTGCTAAATATCGTGTAAACTTATTTATTAAAGCCGACAAATTATGAAATTTCAAAGGATGTTTTTACAAACATTATAGAAAATATTAAAAATTAAAATTTATAGCTCTGAAGTAAGTTTGTTGGCAATCCCGGAGAATCGTGGTCCCTGTGGAAAAAATCTTAAAAATAAGAAAAGGATTTTTTTAGGGTAAAAAAATATGCTGATTACGAATCTGAACTCAGATTTTGAAAAAGTTGAATCGCGAACCCGAATATAGGTCCTCTGATATCGAAAAACCATGGGGGGGGGACCACGATTCTCCGGGATTGCCAGTTTGTTTGATCCTGACAATTTTCGGATCCGAAATTTATGGATATCCGTATCCGGTATCCGAACCATAGATTTACGGATAACCGGTCTTTTTCCGGATCCGCCAATTACTCTGAAGAGCACTAAATATTAGTGATGTTCGAGAGTCAAAAAAAGCAGAGAGTCGAGACCGAGAATCAACACCGAGACCGAGACCAAAACGGAAGTTGAAACCGAGAGATTGAGGGATATCACTTGATGTCATCCTAGTCCCCAAAAAACCTTGATATCCCTCATAATCATCAAAATCTCATGAATCCTTAAGTTAACAATACATATAGCAGCTCTAATTCGATAATTTACCTTGAATTCCAATTTTTACTTCAGTTTCTTTTGACAAAGATAAATTTTAATTTATTTAATTTTAAAGATTTTCTTTAATGTTTGTGAGAATGCCCTTTGAGATTTCATAGTCTGTCGGCTTTAATAAATATGTTTACACGATATTTAGCAATATTGACCTTTTAAATATAACCATAAAAAAGTACATTATTACAAAATATATGTCAAAATTCACCGGGTGTTTTTACCTATATTCATTTTATTTATATAATTGAATTTATATTATATTATTTGTATTTATTATTTATTATTATTATAGGAGCTATGTAGGATTTTAGGCAAAATGCCTGTTTTTTTCTAAATAGGCCTGATGCTGAAACGTCTAAATCAGGCGTTATTTCTATGATATCTGCTTTCAAACTATTTTTATCGTTGCATAAAATTGCCTATTTTAACTTTCTCAACCAAAATGCCTATCGTTCCTAAAAATCCTAGCTCTAATTATATTTATTTATATTTACATTATTATCTCATTTTATTTTATCTGTATTATTTAACGTCAATTAATAAAAATTAATTTATTAGAGAAATTTTTTTTATATTAATTAAGAATGAAATATATTAATATTTTAATATTTTTAATCTTCAATTCAATATTATGGAGTTTAATTAATTCTGTTAAAATTAATAAAAATCAAAACGAATTGAATAGAGTTGAGGAAACTTCAAAGGATTTAACTAAAATATTAAATGATGGCGCTGAATCGTCTGTTGCTCCTCAAAATCAAAAATATAAAAAAATATTAAAACCAAAAATTACTAAAATGTACAAGAAAGTTAATAGTTTGGCAGAAAAAATTATAAAGAAGAAAGAATAAATCGAAATTATCGAGAAAATAATAAAGAAAAACTAAAAGAAAGGAAAGATTCTGAAAAATCTAAACAAATTAGAAAAGAATATGATCGAAACTACTACTATAAGAACAAAGAAAAGAAACTAGAATACAACCAAAAGAATAAAGAAAAGAGGAGAGAATCTGTTCGAAAGTACCAAGAAAATAATAAAGAAAAGAGGAGAGAAACTGCTCGAATGTACCAAGAAAAAAAGAAAATCGAGAAGGAAAATTTAAAAAATGAAATTTTAAAACTAAGAAACATTCAATCGGAAATTAATGAAGGAACTTTGCTTATTAATCCTGAAAATAAGGATTCGTCAAAAGCCTCAGATAATTTAACTAAAATATTAAATGATGGGGCTGAACCATCGGTTGCTCCTCAAAGTCAAAAATATAAAGAAAAGTTAAAGACAACTTCCAAAATTGAAACTGAAAATGATGGAGACGAAAAAAAGTTAAAGAAAAAAGAATATTATAAAAATTACTATCAGAAGAATAAGGAAAAGATATGTGAAGATAAACGAAATTACCACCGACGTATGAAAGAAAATTTAGAAAATTTACGAAAAAATAAATTAGAAATTGAGCAAAATATTAATTCAAAATTAATAAATGCTCAATCTAATGAAGGAAATTTATTACCTAATACACAAAATAACGAATGTGAAAGTAAAGAGAAGGAACCGCTTGTTTCCAAAGAGAATATCCAGTCAGAAAAAGGAGTTGATACGCCAATTCAATCAGCTCATAATGAGAAAGGAAACGATAATGATGAAGCAACTTCGTTTGTTAATCCACAGAAGGATGATTATGAATGTAAAGGAAAAGAACCTACAAAAGAGGACGTTCAGTTAGATCAAGGAAATATTCATTTACAAAATGATAATTCAATTCAGTCATCTCATAAGGATGAAGGAAATCTAGCACATCCAGTTAATCCGCAGAATGTTGAAAGTAAAGATAATTCGATGACTTGCGCATATGAACAAGAAAATGTTCATACTGAGCATCTTAACAAAGAGAATTACATGAATGATGTGGATTATCTCAATTTTTTGTATAATCTAAATTTTTTGGATAATCAGAATTTCCTATAAAGAAATGAATTTTTTAACTTAAAAAAACTAAATATTTTTCTATTCTATGTTAATTTTTCAAACATTTTTTCCGTTTCTTAATGTCTTCTAATTTGAATTAAATGAAATATGTATATTAACTACAATGTTTAAAGCTTCCCGTGATAATTTTTACAAACACTTCTCGTTACTACCGCGGTACTAGTTATATTTAGTACCGATTTTCGGCACTGGAAAATTTGTAAAAAAATGAAAATATTGTGACTTCACTACACAACAATAATAACTTAACTACCAGTGATCGGAAAGTTCCAGTACCGGAACTGATGCGGTTCCAGTCTCTTTATCCCTCCTTATGCTACTGCTTCGGTTCGGTTTCTCTTCGGTTTTGATTGACTGAAAGCTTCAGTTCGGTTTGTCGGTTCGCTTTCGGTTAACTGGCGAATTTGGTGAAACCTACACACTATTATTTACATATACATCTTAAAAGTTGATAAATTTATAATTTGCCCCTTATCTATAAAAAAAAAATAAATTTTTTCATTAAAATAGCTTAAAAAATTTTGGAACTGGAACCGGTTTGAAACCGGTTCCAGAACTGGGACTGAAAAGATAAATTAAAAAATCGGTTCCAGAACCGGGACTGGAACCGGCAAAATTAAAAAAGCGGTTCCAGAACTGTAACAGCTTCCAGAAAAGTTTTGGAACTATTCTATCACTGTTCACTACTCAACAAAAATTTTCGTTGAATAAATTTTATAGCTTTAGTCCTTCAAAAAATACCTTTGGATTTTACGATCAATCTTTAACAAAACAACCTCTCCACCTTCTTTCTTCCCTCTCTTTATCTCCTCGGGGAATTAAACCTTTCTTTCAGCCTTTTTTTTGGTTTGTCTTTAAAATCCCTTAAAAACCTTTATTTGTAAAACAATCAATTCAGCCCTTAATAGAAAAAAGAACTATGTTTTTGAAATAAAGAATATTTCAGAAATTAAGAGAATTTAAATTTTTTTCGTATAAACACGCTATTATTAATAATACAGGGTGCGGGAAATTAGGTTCCAGCCAGGAGGATTATTCATTCGCTTTTGCTTTGTTATACTTCGCTTTTTTCCTTAGCTTTCATTTCCTTACCTTTCAACTTTTCCCTTCCATACCTCTGTTGATATTTAGGAATTAGCCTTATGTTCTGGGCTAAGTAAGAAAATTTAATTTAGCCGAAAATTTCCATGTCTTTTTTTATTTAACATCACATCATATCCCTCCTTACTTTTCTATTTTAGCCTTCTTTCCCCTACTTTTCTTTGTTACTTATTCGGCGTTCCCTCAATGTTTTTTTCCACATTTTCTTTTCCTCAAACGCGTTGCAAATTTCGATAGGCCTTGTTTAAAGACTCATTTAAATTTTTAAAGCAAATTTTTAGCTAATTGCAGTAGTACTTAATATGCAAAACTATATTAAAACTTTTACTTAAAATTATATAACATGTTAATGTTATCCCTAGCCGAGCAATGTAGTATTTTTGAATAGGGAGTGTATCTCCCTAAATACACACGACTAATGTTTTTTTGAACGATTCGTAGATTTAATAAAATCTATTATATCCTTCTCAAGACTTCCTAGATAGACATAAAATTTTAAGCTAATAAAATTTACTTAATATGTAAAAATTCAATTATTCTTTTATTTGAGCCTTATTCTCATAACTTGTTAATTCCATTTCTACAAAAAGTTTGTTTGAATATTTGCTCATAGGGGGTATTAACTCCCTTAAATAATAAGTCAATTAGTATATTGTTTAAGCTAAATTTATATATTTATGTTGTCAGATCAATCTAACTGAAAATATTCTTATTTTTATTACACGGTATTACTATCATTATTTAACGAAATATACAAATAAATAAAATCATAGTCATACCTAAAATCTAATGATACCTAAAAACTTTAATATCTTACTTCTTTCTCCAGTTGAAAAATTTAATAACTCTACTTATTTAATGTTGCCTTTATTTTATTTTTTGTCCTTTTTTCATTTTTATTTTGCTTGTTTTATTAATTTCTATTCTTTTTACTTTTCCCAACTCAACAGATATTTATTTCCGTCAACTCCCTCACATTGCAGCTATCCGCCCCTCTCCCTCCTTTTTTGTACTTCCTTTGC